AGGGTGGTGGAGGTCTGCTGGGGCTCTGAACTGTAATTGATAAGGAACGTGTAACAAGTTTGTAACATCCTTTGGGCGATGGGCGATGATTATGATGGAAAAGAGATGAGAGATTGCGTATCACTTCCTGGAAGGTTGTAAAACAGGCAACAAATCAAGCGAACTTTTTCAACTTAAAATCATGGGTTGTCATGTTCACAAACTCATGTTAGGCTGCGATCAAAAGGTTCTTACGATGCGAAGCGCATCAGAGAGCATGCATCTTCTCGGCAATCCTCGTATGTGATTGATTGACAGAATTCGGCTTACAGCGTCGGTGATATTCAATTTAGTCCCACAAGGACTAAAGAACCTATTGATTAGTTACCGGTTTGAAGCGAGCTACTAATGTTGATGAACATGTACCGATGTGTGATATAAAATACTTGACTGTGAACATTTCACTGAAGTCACAGAAGCCATCGCACTCAATTGTTGGAGACCCTGTCACACCGATCCCATGGACGTGGTGGCCCCTTGGCCACTCCCTTGTCTCCTGGATTAAGGTGAGACATGCATCAGTCCTTGGCTAGCATAGTCTCTGGGGTCTAGATTTCAATAGACTCTTCACTTCTCAAAGTTGATTTGTAAAATTGTTATTCATTCCAGTCTCACAGCACCGCGGCACGTGTCAAGCATTTTGATACCTGCCGTGGCCAATTCGAAATAGCGCAAAGCAAGTGGTCAGAATAAGACACAGGCGCTTCACATAAAGTTTGCTTGCTCAGGTGTTGTTAGACGAGGAAATTTTGGCGCAGTGACAAGACAAATTGAAGAATCAAGGAGCACGAGATATGATGGGAAGATATTACATTTTCTATCGACTGACATGAACCTTGGCCCACTGAGTACAGAACAGGCCTTAAAAACCGTTATCAGGTTTGATAAGAGGAGTCCAGATTTCGCAATTATAAGGGAGGCTGTGTTGGCTATTGTGTCGAGCCACCTCAAATAGTAATTGATCTTCCACCAGAGGAAGACCCATACCAAATACTTACCCAGCGGGCGACAGTGTCTGAAGGAACATTCGTGTAGAGCCACAATTTGATAGCGAGACTGGAAACCATCCAAGTCTAGCATGATCAACCATCGATCAACCATGCAATCTATCGCTCATCTCATCGCCCAGTCGTCTTTACCCAGGAAATTTGACACATAGACCCAGGTCCTGTAGAAAAATCCCCGTTCGAAAAGATTTAGGTAGACAAGAAATGTAGTATTAAAATTACGGAATAGATGGTACTATGGGTTCAACACCCTTTTACACCAGTAACAACACCACCATCGCCGGCACGATGTATAATGAAGCCGACGTGGTATCAACACCCTTCAACTCTGGTTTCTAGGGGAAATCTCCTAGTTCTTGTCCTCGGGGCAGTCCTTCTTGTAATCTTCGCCGAGCTGGCCGCGGACAGCACCAGGTACGGCAAGGCTTGAGTGAACATCGGTGAAGAATCCCTCGGGGTTCTCCTCAATCTGGCTGACCTTGAAGCCTGAGCCAGTGTCGACACCGGTAGCGTTCACGCCGGTGACGAAGGGGCCGGTCAAGCAGCCGACGCTGCGGCGGACGTTCTGGTATCCCTCGACAGCGACCGGGTTAGGGAAGGCAATGCTGGTGAGGTTGAGTCAGTATTCTGATTCTATCAAGCGATTTGTACATATGCTTACCGAGGGGGGCCAGCCTTGCCCTTCTCTGCCTGGTGGATGTGGGTTGCCGTGCGGGCAGGGGACTGGTACTCGCCCTGGAAGTTGACCAGGGTGATGTTGTAGCAGATAACATTCTCTTTGGAGTTGATGCCGTAGTTGAAGTAGCCAATGGCTCCGGCCAGTCCACCAGTGAAGGTGTTGTTGTTATCGACGACCTGGTCAGGTGTGGCGATCACGTCGTAGGTCGAGGTGAAGTGAAAGGGGCCAGAAGAGCCCCAGCTGCCCTTGCCTCCCTTCTTGGTCCAGCCGACAGCGTGCTTGATCTCCTCGACAATGGGAGCGGCGGAGGCAGCAGTAGCCAAAGCCAGGGGGATGACAGCGAACTTCATTGTGATGGTATGGGAGATAGTGAGTGACTGGGGATGAATGTACAGTTGGGATTGATAGATACTAGAAGAGGTGGATGAGGATGAAATGATGTGATACAGATCGGAACTTGGGAATAATGAGGGAGCTTTCATCTCTGTATATGTAGTAAACCTCGATATCCAGCTACGAGCTACAACTCAGGTGCATCTTCGGCAAGTACGGTCATTTCCCCTCAATTCCACAGCGCCTCTACACTCACTTGCATCATCACTGCTACGGCCTGGTGATGTGTTCGCTCAGCCAAGAACCGGAGGAACGATCAAGCGCTGTACGCCGGCGCCATTACCGCGGTCTGGGCTGTCGTGATGAATGGGCCAAGGGAATTGAGATTGCGGTGTTTGCCTCCCGTTCTCCCGTAGTCGCCGCGGCGCAGCAAATCGTCGAAGAGTTGGGGGCTCCTTGGCACACTTTCCTAATCCGGGGAACATCGAATACCAGAAGCACGGTTATGACGCCGCCGATCACTTGGGACTCGGCAGCGGAAGCGCGACTTGCCGTCCACAAGTCAACCAAGTGGGAGAGTTTATGTCTTGTTTAGGTTCGTCCGGTAGCGTCAATATTTCGAGGCAAGCTCCTTGGCGGTTGCTTGGCCCTCTCCCCCAAATATGCGCACCGCGACGCGCCGGATCGTTTGCCAATGCAGCCCAATAGAGAATCTGACGTGGGAAACACTTGGCTTTCGCGGCTTGCTACTACGGACATTTGAAAATCAATACTCCGCTGGCAGTTTTGACGATCTTTTCCATCCTACCCGCGCCCGAACACAGCCCGTTTTGGGCGCTCTTTCAGGAATCAATTGCTGGGCATTTTCCGGAAAGCCTCACATCCGACGGAATATCGTCTAAAGCTAAGTAAGATGCTTTTTGTGCTTTTTTCTTCTTCTCCCTACCAAGTTCAAGTCAACCCTTTTTTCGCTCGGCATTTGCAAGAATGACACCGGCGCTGTTGTTGGATCAGCAATGGTCTTGGCGATGAGGTAGAGCCAATGAAGTGAGACTTGTCTGACATCGCTGGGAGCACGTTATTTCTGTGGTATGAAATCGCATGTTTTTTGCCCTTCAACTAAACTCGACACCCACTATGTTCTATTGCAAACGTGGTGCTACAACAAGTTCTTGAAACTCGACTGACTATTTTGTAGTGATTTTCGGTGACTCAGGTACAGATCCCCCGCCGAGCTCCACGCAGATGTCATAGTAGTCAAAGAACAAGCAGCTGGAAACTATCTGCATTGAGTGTTCACATCCAGGAAACACATCAAGCCACGCAATTACGATTATTCGGAAGCTCATGCGCGCTCGGCCTTCGTCATATGCACGAGTTGGAAGATCGGCAACGTTATCGACAGGAAACAGCCACCTCGCCCGAGAAGAGACCGGAGAGACTCGAGGCTATTGGCTTTCGCCAACTCAGCTCTTGCATTGACATACGTACAATCATCAATGTGGTTCAAAATATTGCTCTATTGAGGCCATACAAGGAGAGGTAGTCCGTTCTGCTTCATGGGTTAGATCCTCAGCAGCTAGCTGGTCAACAGTTGGCGCCTTGGACAACATCTCAAACATGCGAGATCGACAAGCAATATCGAGGCTGGGTCGGCATCGCTACGGCTCTAGCATCCATGCACTTGTCTGCATTTCAGGCTACGACTTGAGGAATTCAAGATACTAGTCGCATGTGGTAATGTCGTTGATCAGTGTTATTAAGCTCTTCTCTTGGACAGTCGTTAGATGTGAGTTTTCATGGCTTGGGCCACAATCTCGACAACAGAGTCTGACCTACAACGAGAAATGCAGAAAGATCGTACAGGATAAATCAGTCTTCATCGCTGCAGCCCCAGTTTGGGTGCGCTTAGTTCCGGACGATTGGGTCGATTTCGAGGGTACATCAGCTGAGCAGACAGTTGCTCGGTTTCGCTGTGCCCACAATAGACAACGTCATGCTTGGGTGATGGTAGAGATATCGTTGCTAAAATTTGGTTGCTGATGGCAGCCATCAATTGGCTATTGAAGAGACAGAACCACATCTGTGAGAAACTGAGATCAGTGCTAGTAAGTATTAGTTCTCGTTCATGCTTCCTAGTCCACTCCCTCTGGCTCGCTGCATATCTTCCTGGGCAAGACGACAAGCTCTTCTGCAGAAGAGCATGAAGCCTTGACCTCCGAAGAGGGCTACGCGTCGGGCTCCTCCTGACAAAGGGGTTGGAATCCCGCGAAGTCCTGCTTTCAAGTGAGAAGTTTCACCAGTGCGCCTATTTGCGCATGACAATCGCATCGATGAAGGTTCGTTCGCCCCTTTTCTAGCTTTCAGCTACTCGGTCGGATCATCAGTTGCAAGGAAACATCAGCGGAAGTTTCGGACCCTGAAGGCCGCCAGTAAACAAGCTTTTCAAAAGGGGCTGATCACGAGCTGGAATACAGGGGATGTCCAAGACTTTCAGATGAGTTGCTAAGGCTTGACAAGTTGCAATAGTTGAGCCTCCACATTAAAGATCTTCGGGGACGGGGAAAAGACTAGTGAAGTCGCCGATTATACGGGGTAATTATGATTCGTTTTATTAACATCATGCTCAAAGTGCCCAGTGATGATCCGTGGAGTTGAAGCACGAGCCACATTCATTAACTCTACGATATTGAGAGTCTTCTCAGAATGCTAGAAACCAGCACGAATAGCTCTCGATGGGTTCGTAGCTTTCATCTAGCGTGCCGTTCATCCGATGTTCGAGCGAGTCACAGGGAATCTCAGCTCCACGGGTTCCGGGCAAGTCTTGCGGACTCTAGACCCCGCTTCAAGATATAAAGACTGTTTGCCAAGCTGTTGTATCGATATACTTCCGTCGCAATCAGCATTCAACTTCCATCATTCTATCTATCAAATAACCAAACATGCTATCTCTACTTCACTCTGTGCTTCTGGCATTCGCCGGTATTGCTGCTGCTGGCTCACTCGAACCCACCGCAACTCAAAGCGAATGCACAACAACGATAACGGTTCTTGATCCCGGCTTCACTGGCGACTACCAGCCAACGAGCACCATCACAATCTACAACCAGACAGTTACAATTGGAAAGCCTACAGACTGCCACGGCTGCAACCACGTCACCACTACCGTGGAGCCGGCGCCTTGGTGGGGTGGGATCGGCCCGGAGATCCAGAAGGTTATCTACGTCCACGCAACGACACCAACTACGATCACGTCACCCGTCTGTGCGACATCAACACCGTCCTCCACGAGTGCCCCATAGCCCTAGAAGTAGTATATGAGCAGGTTCTAGAAACGGAGTTTCCAGGGGATTGTATTTTTGAAGTCAGAGTATTGGGTTCTGGGTCGGTCACCTGTTCAGACTTAGAAGGATTAAAAGTTCGACAAGGAAGTGATTGCCTGTGTCCGAATTCCAAAGTTCTGCATAGCCTGTTCACGGTTGCAACCTAGTAGGCTAACGATACCACCGAGTGACTCGAGCTTTCAGAAGAGCTCGGATGAAAGAACGCGGAGACTCAAAAATGAAGAAGACAAAAATCAGAACAGGGGTTATTCAATCAACTGCACTCTTCATATCAATGGATGACGATGGACCAAGTACACTTCTTGAAGTTATGCCACACAATGCTCCTAATTCTCAGGCACCGCCATGATCTTCTCAGATCCCACTTTCATCAGTCTCATCCTTCTGAGGTCTCGTGATTTCGATAGAGTACACGTTTACTTTGAACCTAGCATCCTCACTCCAATCGCCATACTGCAGGTAAACCTCCGCATCACTTACTTGAAAAGTCCTTGTAGGTGGACTCGACAAGCCTAAGCCTGGGCTCCGAGAAGGATAGTAATGTTTCACTAGATCTTGTCTGCTGATGTTTTCGTAGAAGAAACCACCTGGCGTACCTGTTCCTGTGAAAGAGTCACGCAACTCCCAGACGCCTGGACCTCGGTCATCGTCATCCGAGATGCGCACAATGTCTTCGTAGGCCTCGGTTGGAATGTTGGGGATCTTGTCTTTGGGATAACCGTGGGCTATTAGCAAAGCATCGCCGATCCGGATGCGGTCATGACGACTGAGATACTTTTCCCTTTCGTCCCATCGTTTCCTTGATTCCTTCTCTCTGGCAAAGCGCGCTAATTCTTCTTGACTCGGCGCGGTTGGATTGATAAGTCCAGTCATATCTGTCTCGATTTTGTCAACGCGAGATATCGAGAGTCGCCTGACTGGCGGCTTCTCAGGCCATTGTCCATGAGCATTTTCCATGTAGTACGTGTAAACCGCGTACGGACCGGGAGGAAGCCACTCGCGGGGGATATCGCGTCGGATAGGTCTGGAAGCAGTAATCTGCTGGCTAGCTTCTTCTTCGTCCTCGGAAGGTTCCCCCATCTCCGTAGCAGGGATCGAGGGGGTTTTCTGGGGTGAGTCTTCCCTCGGCATTGCAAGACGCCAGTCAGGTCTCACCACTGCCAGCCGCCCGTAGCCAACTCGATGCTCTGCCGTAGTGTTTTGCCCGGCACCAAAGTCCCCGTCAGCTCTGTAGATTCTCGTAGCACTCATGTAAGCTGCACCGTTCTCTCTGTTGATTGCCGCATTTTGTCTTTCCCTCTCGACCTTGTCAGTAAGGTTTGGAATCCACTTCGTCTCTCCATGTAGACGGTCGATATAGATAGGGCGCCCGTCATGGGCCATTTTTCTGAAGATCACCCGAGCATCGAAGGATGGGAAGTTTATCGATCTTTCGCCCAAGTAACTGTCGGCATCGATGGGGCTTCCAGCTGTAATTTGAGGTGGAAATGTACCATATTGAAAAGTTCGCTTTTCGTATGAAAGCGACCATGTTGTGAAGCCCTCGGGGGCTGCTTTCTTGTAGCAGTCCATGCATATGTTTCTGGTGTCCAACCGGCTCATGGGAGGCCGAAATGGTCCTGTCTCAGAAGCATTTATCTCTCGCTCAAACATCGGGTGTTCAGGCACGAGGCTATATTCCCGTGCTTCCTGTACAGCCATCTCTGTGAAGAAGCTCAAAAATCTCGGTAGCTTGGGGTCATCCCCTGCCTTCGGGCGACTGGAAAGACATTTGCACTTCCCGGTGCCGTCGACAAGACAATTGAGGTACTCGGCAGTACCGGGTATGGGGCCTGCTGGGCCAATCGGCCACATGTTGCGATCGTTCGATGACATGATGTCGTACTCAAAAGTGCGGCGGAGGCACTACACGAGCCTTGGAAACAAGTTTGCAGATGTGTCGTACTCTGGTAGGAACTGAAATATATGGAGACCCTCGCCCATACGCACTGCGGCGGCTGGAGGCAAACTTGAGATAGGATGACGGTGTTCCGAGGTCACCCGACCTGGTAGGGGCGAGGATGGTGACTGGCCCAATTTTGGCAGGGAGTCATATTGAACGTATAGGAGACAGAGCCAATGGCGTTCCCAAAATTGGCACTGTACTGCTGCAAAGCCAACTGCATTCAAAGTCGCCTATTTTGGCATCAGTTTTTTCGAATACAGTGACCACACTGCTTCGTACCTATCAGCATCTTGCAATAGTCCGGGATCAAAGGGAAAAGGAGATATTGGGGTTTGGCTACTTGACCGGGGTGAAACCAGGTGAACTGGACCTATACAAGAATCAATTAATTCTGCATCACGAATTTCAGAAGTTCATTTGACTCGCTTACAGTACATGAGCATCTCCTAACAGTTCATGTTGATTAGCTTCCGAGTTTGAGACTGCGCCCCTCTGCAGGCTGACTCCCAGACTCCGCCTCAGGCTGATTCCCAACAGCTGCGCACATATGCGAACCAGATGATAGGTCTACCAACGTCGAGGTCCTGGATTGTCTTGCCTTTGCCGCTGTCAATGCTCGGTCTTCGCCTTGACAAACCACCGGTTCATATTGCCCGTGCCGCACTGCACTTTTCCTGATTTATTTCTGAATGTGCCATTGAGCACAGCCTCTCTTCAGATTGCATGTAAATGCAAGTGCCTATGCAAAGGTTGGTACGGTCATGCGCGGGACCGATACCACAACCTGCACAGCTACCCAAGGAAGAGACGGTAGAAGCCCAACTCACTATACGTACCACCTGTCTCGCGGAAGCCGCCTCGTGGACCCATGATGCTCGGGCCATAAGCCGTATTGTACATAATTGATTCTAGTTAAAGCCTGACTTTGTCACCGTAGACACGAAACCAACAATACCAATGCAACATTGACAGACTCTATCGTCTGTAGGCTCATCAGCGTCCAAGCACAGAAGTTGACAATTTTGAGCAGCGCTGCCTAGCAACATGATCTTATTTGTCAAGTCGCGAGACGAGTGGGCCCAATCAGCAAAGACTATAACACTAATCCTCATCGACAACTTTGATTATGAATCTGGCTATCGAGCTACCAAATTTGCCTCCTTGGGCGCAGCAACTTGTCGGGATCCTTCCTCTTACGGCCCTCATCGAATTCATCGAGGAAGCCGCCAAGCTCCATGTATTTGAACTATCAGGGCTTACGCCCGCATGGTGTTGGCCAATATCGCCAAAGGGCGCTCGCCTTTTACTCTCCACAGATGATACCACAAACGCATGCTGTCTCGATCGACCAGGTGCAGTGCCTACACTCCACTGCATGGACACAAAGTTTGGAGATCACTACCCTAGTGCAGCAGCCGCAACAACGAGGCTATTCTTAAGGAGTCAAAAAGTCGACGTCAAGGTTGAAAATAGCTTTGTGGCCCTTGGAGATCGAACTCGGCAGCAAAAGCTCTACGTGTATGTTGTGGAAGATGAAACATCCGATGGTCCGTACGGCCCGATCCGTCGTCTCATCGACATAGTATGGGGCCCAGTCTCTTTACATTATGCTCTGGTCAGCTTGTCTGGGTGGATCTTATGGGCAGCGGGTATTATCTGTTCGCTACTTTCGGGCACGTTTTATGGGATGATATACTTGCTTCTCATGCCGGCATCAGGACACTTTATCGGCCAACTGTTTGGAACCGCGCCTCGCAGCCTTAAACCTGGCAGACACAACGGAAACATATCGAAGAGGCTCATTGTGTCTGCCAGTAGTCTCAATGGTCAGGACTGGAACGCTTTCATTGGATCGAGAAACTCTGTCAATGCTCTTCTGAATAGGCCACTTCAGCGTAAGGTATTCCCCAGACGGCCAAACCTCTTTCGCTGGATGCTTCGATTCACAATCATGGCACAATGGTCTATAATTATCATCGCCTCTACACTTCAAGGCTGGGATGCCGCCGTCGTCACGTTTTGTACCGCATTCTGCTCCCTATCAGTGACGTACCTGTACTCATCCGAGGATGCGGCCTCAGACTGGCTCAAACATCAGTGCCGAGTGAATTTCAAGTGCGTTCGGGCGAATCTGGGAACACGGAGGTCCTTGTTGGGAGCGCTTGTGTATCTCAATCCAGACCGAGAGTCTACCGAATGGATGAATCCAATTCTGGCGAGAAGCAGCTTACGTGAAAAATGGGAGAGATCCCTCCTCGAGTATATCCGCTCAGGCAGTGTCCGCCTGGAAGACGAGAAAGAATATTGGGTGACATTCATCAAGGAGGGAGCGGAGGTGGGAAAGAATATCGCTGATGCGATTGCAAAGTTGCAGGAGCATCCTTTGTCACGAGAGAAGTGCTGATGACAACATAATGTTTCATATTTGACACAAAAGCTTTCCAGTGAGATCCTCGAGCAGCTGTATGGCTTGGCGATGATAACCCGAATTTGAAACAAGAATGAATTTTCTGTACTGTAGTAAGAGGGTATCTAATAGGAGACAGTCGAGATAGGCTACATCAAGGATAGCAATGTCAAGAAATTCGATGACTTTGGGAAACCTGACTGAACCACCACCGATTGGCTTTTTCCTGCTCATCGCACAGCTCATGCGTGTGAAAGCTGTCTATGCTCTCGCTTTTATGGCCAATATGATGTACCATTCACTTCACTAGAAGGGCCATGGTGAATGTTTCATTCCCTTTGCATCCATCCTCTGCCCCATCCCTGTTGCACTGTCTCGTTCTGCGTTGTTGGCATTTTTTCCACTCCTGTAACACTACTATCGGCGCCCTGCGAGACATCTGCTTCTGAAGTTGTAGATATGCCTAATCCTGACGATCGCATCGTACTCGAGTCTGGTGACACTGGAGAGACCACCGAGTAGAGCGTATTTCGAGTACCCGTATCAGTAACCGGAGAGACGTATGCCGGGGGAGGCGAATTCGTCGTGGCGGTTGGGTCGTAGTTGTCAGCTGGCAGCTCACTCAGCTGGGTCGGGGGATCAGGGTCCAGCTCCGCAACATGTCGATGGACGCCGGTGGCACCGCTGGCGGCAACAGCTGCTGCTGGGTCGAGCTCGGATATCGGTCGTGGATCGAGTTCGGACATTGGTCTCGACTCTCCGCTCAATTCTGATTTGAATGCATACACCTCGCTTTGCTCTGGTCGTGACTTGGTACTACCCAGAGCAGCGACACCTAATGCTCCTCCCGCGGCTGCGGCTCCCATTTCCGGTCCAACGTTTGCATTCGATGACATTGCTGCGGCGTCGGCTAATTTCTTCTGACGATATTTCATGAAGAACTTGTACCCAATGAACATGAAAAGAAGAACGGCAAGGATGATCCCAATCGCAAGTCCAGCTTTCGCGCCATCATCCATACCGCTCCCACTGTCGGGTGTCGATGTAGTTGTCACAGTTGCCGTAGTGATGCCTCCAGACCCAGTGCTCGTAGTAGTGAATGTAGTTGAAGATGATGTTGTTGATGTAGATGTAGCGGCAGTCGGGATAGCTCCAGTCACGTAACAGTTCCGGATCTGATTAAAGATAGAGCTGTACTGTGTACAGCTGGCTTCGAGCTTGGTGATGTCGTCGAGATCGTCGCTGTACCAAGAAGACATTCGACTCCTGAATGAGGCATAGGTAACGAAGAGTTCTAAGCCTGAGAGTGTAGACGTATAATCGCAAGCCGTAGCTCCCCATGACATTGACGTCGTTGGCGCATTATCCAGGACGTCAGCTAGGTCCTCAGCGCATTCTGAATTTTGACGTCGGATCTGTTGTGAGCGGGCGTAGATGTCCGGCCGAGCCGAGGCCGGTTCGGCAGCCGTAAGCAGGCCGGCCAAGAGACCGAGGGCGGAAGCGAGTTCGGAACGCATCGGGGCGGACGCTAAGAGTTTGATTATCAGATGGGTTTCCAAAATCAAGAGCCCATGCGTCCACGCGGTCTGGGGAAGTGCGGGACGGAGGGCATTTGTGTCTAGATCTAGGCAAGAGATATTCCGCCGTCGACGGATTGACCCAGAGACAACGTGATCAAGAAACGGGACCACGCGGCCATTGGAACCCCGGCAATCTGTCCAACAAATACACTACGTCAACAACACCCGTCACATTCCGTGATTTTCGCTGTCCCCTACTGCAAAAGTCTGCACTATCGCAACTCCACCATCCATACTGCCTTATAATCCACCGCCGGATGGGGACTATCATCGCTCGGCCACTGCTAATTATATAGAGGTGCAGCTGCCAAGCATCAGCGGACCAACAGCGACGGTTCGTCCCAATGGGCCAAGAATGGTCCAGCCTGGGATCTCAGCCACGGTGATTGCGCTGAACAGGGCTGTGTTGTAAGTGATCAACAAGAAACCAAGACACCAAGTTACCCAACATGTGGGGAGACGTTGTTTCTCTCGGGTTCATCCAATTGGATCGGGATCGTCTTTTAGATGAAACAAGATGGGTTAATCCGCGTTCGCCCTACTGCTTGTTGAGCGGACGAGTCTTTGGGATGTGAGAGCCGGCAGTGGAGTTCTTGGGGGAGATTTGATGTGGATGGTTGAGGTTGTATCCTGATTGGAGCTTCGCTACCAAGGTTTCTTTTGACTTTTTCTTACTTCGATTGCTCCGGTCGCTAGCTGGTTTGGCAGCTCTGCCGGTACTAGAGCGGGGTCTCCAGCCGTAGTCGAGTAAGGTTACGAAGCTGATCCCCGCCATGGCAACGGCAACAAATCATTTCGGTCAGTTTACGCGAGCTTAGTGAATCATAGGCTTGATCAGATGGAGAGCAGATTCTGTCTGGACGAGATATTAAGAGACACGCCACCGTGACGTACCAGGGCTATGGGAAATGGGGTGACTGAGGCTGGGCCTAGGAAAAAGCATCCAGAGACATTCTTGGCGTTGAGGTCGTGGGACTGACCAGATGAGGGGCGGGCCTGGATCAACGGCAAGACATAGGGAACTCCGAGAGCAATCTGATCTAATCGGCAAGATCATAGCTCTTGTTGAAGCTGTACAGTTTTCACATTGTCGTGGTTCTCTTCGTTCTTTCTATCTCTACCACGCACTACTGGCACTGGTGTCTCCTAGAATATCTCAGCGACCGGCAAATCGATCTCTTTCAGGCTTTGAGCGCTACTCGTAGAACTCCGACAGTTTGGCAGACCGCCGTGTTTCCTAACTATATTCGGTATATTTGGGTCAGTGACCCGCCCTCCTGGCATGGTATCGCCCTGCTTATAGGGCACTAAAATGAATCCGCGACTCATGACCGGCAGACGAGGAACCTTATGAGGCGCCTTTTTGAGGGGGTCAATCTCAACCCCAAATCCCCAAAGAGAAGATTGACAGGGCACAGGTGGGCCATCAAGGGGCAGAGCTGTCCGCTCATGTCCGCTAAAGTGGTGGATCAAACCTAGCACAGGGGAAAGGCAATTAAGCTCAATTTAACCTCGTCGTGTCCGTGGAACGAAAACGAACAAGTGTCTTGTGACAAGTGATGGTGAGATAATAAGAGATCTAAATGGTATCAAATGCTGGTCCAAGGAAACTTGATAAAAAATAAAGAAGAGATCGGCCGACTCATCAAAGGCGTCATAATATCTCGCCGGCGCATCCGTGACCGCCTCTCAAGCTGTTACCCCCGGCCGAAGCGCCGACATGGAGGTCTCAGCCACACACACAACTCCCGCGTCCTGCTCTCCAAGCTCCTCGGCACACACACCAGTGCAGCCAAGCTCAAGCCCCTCCCTACAGATTTCACATCGTGAATTTCGTAGCCTTTTCACTCGTTGATGCGATGTTGCCAAACTTCTTGCTCAGCCCTTGCGCTGTATGTGCTCGCGCCCAGAATGGCCCTCATCTGGTCGACGCCCAGAAACATGACCTGACGCGCAACGAACCAGCGGATGCCCTCATGGCAGGGCGGACTCGTCAAGCTGCCGCGGTAGGTCCAGAACTCGTTGAACTGCAGCACGCTGTTCAACGCCGGCATGTGGTCAATCTCGATCTCCTGCTGGACGCCGACGTCGTTGAAGCCGATCATGGGCGGCAGCTGGTTGAAGAAGGTGTTGTTGGCGTTGCCGGGGTCCAACCGGATCGCTAGTACAGCCTTCTCGTGGCCCTCCTCATCCACATGGACGAGGTGCAGCTCCGCCTTAGACCTGTCGCCGTTGACCGAGTGGTCGGCGGGCGAGTGGATGTGCCAGCCCTTAAGGTAGAGCTTCATGTCGTCGTAGGTGAAGGACGGGTTGCCGGTGTAGACGCCCTCCGGGTGCGTAACGGTGAAGGCGGGGCCGTAGCCCCAATTGTAAAAGTTGCCCGCCGTGTGGTTGGGATAGTTGAACCGGAGGATGTGGTTCAGCGCCAGTCCGTTGTTGAGGCTGAGCGCAATGGGCGATTGCTGCGTGCCGGTCTGGCACAAGGTGTAGTCTGAGTGTCGGCGTCAGTACCTGTACTTCCAGTCCAGACCATCAAGGACGATCATTTGGCACGAATGCAACTTTAACTTACTTGGATTGAGGCGGCCCCAATTGAACGAGGCCTCATAGGCCCAGTCCGAAGCCGGCAACGGAGCCATCTCTGCACGCTTCCTGTCTGTCATGGCATAGTGGTTCTGGTGTCCCGCACATGCGAGGACATCAGACGCCATGAGCAGCGCGCCAAGGAATACTGTCGTGATCATTATGATAGCGGGATCTGGAGAAACTAGCTGCGATTTGCGATAGACCTCCGATCGTAACCTATTTACCGTGAGGGCCTCGTCAAGCTTTATACTCTATTACTCGACAGCGAACTGCGGGGCGAAGCACGGAAATCCTCCTGGTCGGCCTGTATAACCTTTGGGAAGGGGGTTCATTTCCGCCTCCCGTATGCATTGTAACCGGCCTCGAGAAATCCTCCGAGGAGGGAAGGACGAGAACCTCGAGATGCATGACTGGTAGAACGTTGTAACCGCCGGAGCCAAGACATGCTAAGCAAAAGTAAAGGTAAGGGAGCACTGCTTTATCGTCAGATTCTGAACCCTTGATGCCGCGTTTTCCATGATGCTTGGCGCGCAGGACACTCTCTGGGCGCGCCGTATTAGAGATGCGCCGGAAATGATGGGCAGAATCAACGCATTGACCCGAGTACAGGGTAAACTCTGCGTCGTTATACCGCTAGCTTTGCGTGAACCCCTCTACAGGTACCGCTATTATCGCTGTTTTGTCCGTAAATTGCCCGTATTATTAGCCTTTCTTTATCAATCATATCCCGCAAGCTCGGGGCAGAGATGGGACGGTGGCGTAAAATTACAGGATGCGTTAGTTCTGATGGACAGGTCAACCTGGGCACGGCTGGGCACGGCTGGGTGAGATGTGCCCTACTGGTGGCTAAGTCCTTACTCTCTACAGCTTTTTTACACTTGGCGGCGAGGCCGTTGTGTACCTTCGTGTGGCTTGGCTGACGCCTCATCGAACGTGTTTGTGTTTCTACCAAGACTCCGAGGCGGGGAATCTCACCCATTTTCCCTCAATTCCTTGGTCGAGCCCTGGATCACGGCATCTGGAATGGCGCTTGGTCCAAGATTCGTCCGTACTCACGAAATGTTTCTCATCCTCGACTATCTTGGCCCTAGGCAGAGACAGTACCAGTGAACAGAGCAAAAGGCGTTTAGTCCGAGCACGTGGTCAAATTGCCGATGCGGCTTCCTCCGGCGACGCAAAGTCTAGACTCGGGCAAGACTTAGACCGCTTATGTGAGATCTCATCTGGACGCGAATGGAGTCTGGTTAATATCTGATCGTGAATTAATTCGTGGAAACCATGAGTGCCAAGAACTACTGCAAGAGTGTAGGCGGCCATGCAAGACATGGGCAATCTGAGACTGGCGCTAGTTCTCAGGAGGGGCCAGCCGGAGGGAGGCTCAACATCGCTTTCAACTTCCTGCCCCCGATTGCTGAGGAAATGTTTAGAATGACTTTCTGTTGATACCTTATCTCTTTACAGGTGGACGACAGTGAATCGCCGGTGGTCATGTCTGCTCGGGGAGTGAAATGGGTACAAGCCATCTTAAGCGGGTGTAGCTTCACTCAATTCTGCCGACAGAGAGTCTTATTTTGAGAGCAAGGATGAATAGAGACAATAAGAAGAGCCGTCGAAGTAGGATGAACTACTCCTGGCATCTAAAACCGACTTTCCTGTGCAAAAGAGTATTTCGCGGCTGATGGATACAAACGAGATCAAATAACTCGTCAACGGCAAAAGCAAATATTTTGATAGAGCCCAGTCCATATAATTACTTTTTTCTCAAACTACCTCATGGCAAGCAGCGCAAAATCACTATAAGGCCACTTGGCAGAGTCCTCGATTGAATCCGTAGCTAGGATAGTCAGGATTTGGAATCCCGAATACGATCGTGATGTAGACTTACATGCAGGCTGTGCCTAGGCTACATGGATATGAAGGTATTAAGTAGTACTGTCATCTATGAGGACCGACGAAATTGCCATTATTTTTTGTAAACGAGATTCATCCACATCATTGGCAAGAAAGGGACATTGCGAAGAAGTGCTTCTGTGGAAGGTGAAAGCCATGTGATACCAAATACAGAGATAGGATACACACCACGGAAAGTATGGCTTTCCATGGATTCCAGGCGCACGAATAAGCCGGCTAAGTAGCTAATATGAACAAGGAGAAATTCCGAAGCATCTTGGTAGGCCTGAGCAACTTGCCTAAGTGGACATACGTCAACATGGGACGTGGCGTCGTGTTGAACCGCAACCTTGTAGGCCACATAAGGTGGGCTAATGTTTGATCGAAGCTTCGGCCTGAAGCGTTGGGACAAGACGGCACTGACTTCGCTATCAAGGTGCTGACCACTGGGTTTCCCACAC